ATTGCTGCCAAAAGAATCCCACAGACAATGGGTGCTCTGAGATCATCAGGGGAAAGATTCTTGAGAGCTGGAGTAGCTAGAGGGCTTCTTGGAGGAGGTGGCCTTGAGTGGAGCTTACAAGATCTTAATGATTTCAGAGATACCCCAGTGCTGCCAACCCAACATTTGTTAGATTTCTTTTAGACCCACAGTTGGATTTCTTCTGGCCCGCTGCCTGAATTGGCTAGGGTCAGAGTGCTAGGAACGTAGACACAGCAGCTAATGCCTACAGGCTTTCAACAGCCCACTAAAATGTTTTGAGTGCTGAAAACAAACTGATGGGCTCCCCAATTTGAAAAGAAAGCTGCAGAATTGAAATCAATACACGTTTAATTTAGCTATGAAATCTAACATTAGGTCCAACGGTTGACTGCAGCTCAACTCTTGACAGAGTTGTACATGAGTTCTAGTTATTTGTGTGGCTTATTTAAATATGTGTGCTGGGGTGTGGGATGGGGTCTCTGAAATGACATGCCTGGGGCCCTGGAAGTCCTCACACATGCTGTCTGGGGTTTGGACACAGGCTTGTTTTCCAGATGGGGTCATAGGACCGCAGAATGTTAGAGCTGGGAGCGGCCTTGGTGCTATCTGTCCATCCTCCTTCCATTTTCAGTTGGGGTAAATGAGATGGCCGAAGGAAGGATCTCCTGGTTTACTTTCACCATCTGGGATGGGTAGATACCAGAAGGCTTCTCCTCCGGCTGAAGCCAGTCCTGGGTGGGGTTGTGTCCCCCTGGAGACCCTTGGCCACAAGGCAGAGCTGGGTCAGAGAGAACCCTATTTCTTTCCTCAATATCACCTTGCCTCCTGCCTCTGTCTCCAATATTTTGGATTTGTTGTCTCCACTCTGAAAGTCTTTGAGGCTTTTCTTGAGTAAAGTTGCTCCCATTGACCTTGACCTTGGAGACACTAGAATGGGCAGTGGATTTCAGAGAGAGGTGAAGGTAGAGGTGAAGGGTAGACTAGCAATGGGGACTTGATGAGGGGGAGATCTTTACAAGCAACTTTGCAAAGTTGATGGTTTTTCCTGTTACCTACGTTAGCCCTCCACTTCCTGGGGAGGCTTCTTCTCGCCCAGGGGCCCAGTGCCCTCAGATGGCCTGAGACACGCCAGCAGGCTCTCCCTACCCAGAAGCCTGTCCTCCAGAAGCCTCCTCTTCCTCCCCCACCCTGTCCCCTTGTGCTGAGTGGCTGAGGAGAAAGCAGCTGATGAAATGATCAGTTCTGAGGTACCAGCGGCTGCCAGCCTGATTGTTCATCACCCTGGGATGTTTGCATTTTTAACAAGAACATTTGGCAATTTGAAGGAAATTTCAGTGTCTCCTTTTCTCTCCCTGGTGCATATTCAGTGCGATGATAAATGTAAAAACATTTTGTAAACTATAAAGTGCCAGGCAGATAAAAAGTAAAATAATTAAGGGGAAAGAAGAAGTGGATGTGGGAATGACAGGGCTTGGGGCGGAGTTGGCTGCAAGGGGAGGAAGAAGAGCAGGCAGAC